GGGGAGTCCATGCAATCCATCTCATTGTCTTCCTTAATCTCATTCTGCGAGTCCAATTCAGTTGTTTCGGAAGAAGCAGACTCTGATTCCTCAATCTCTTCCACATCATCTGTAGAAGATTGGGATGGTTGGTCATCACTAGGTTTCAGTTCCAGAGCATCAACATCAATGTTCTCTAATTTCAACAATTTCTCTTGTAGAAAATTCACATCGGCGCCATCAGATTTCAGTTCCAAGGTGTCTACAAGATTGATGTCCTCTGGTTTCAGTAATTTCAGCTCTGGGGAATCCATGTAATCCTTGCCTAGCTCGAGCAATTTCTGGTTGGTAGGTTCTGTTTCCAGGGACTCGAAATCTATTTCCTCTGGCATCAATGAATCTTGCTCTAGAAAACTCATATCAACATTTTTTAATTTGACCATTTTCCAATCCTCATCATGTTTCAGTTCTGAGGAATCATCTAGCAAATCCATATCGATATTCTTTTGTTCAAACAATTTCTTATTATCAGGATTCAGTTCAAAGGAATCAAGATTGATGTTCTCTAGTTCCAGTAAATTTTGCCCTAAAACATCCATGTCAGCATTCTCTGGCTTAAACAAATCAATATATGCTGAGTTATTTGGGTCATCTGAATTTACAAATTTCTTCTCTAGTGAATTTAAATCAAAATTCTTTTGTTCGAGCAATTTCTGATCATCAGGATTTAATTTGAAGCAATCAAAGTTAGTGTTCTCTAGTTCCAGCAATTTTTGCCCTAGGACACCCATGTTAGCATTCTCGGGCTTGAGCATATTGATATTCTCTATCTTTTCTGGGTTCAACAAATTCTTCTCTAAGAAATCCATATCGACATTCTTTTGTTCTTGATCATCAGGATTCAGTCCAAACAAATGAAGATTAATGTTATCTAGTTCTAGCAATTTTTGCCCTACGACACTCATGTTAGTATTCCCTGACTTGAGTATATCGACATTCTCTAGGTTCTCTGGGTTCATTAATTTTTGCTTTAGGAAATCGATGTCGGCATTCTTTTGTTCAAGCAATTTCTGATCATCAAGATCCAACTCAAAGGAATCAAAATTACCATTCTCTAGTTCCAGAAAATTCTTCCATAGGATACCCATGTCAGCATTTTCTGGCTTCACTATAATGACATTCTCTGAGTTCTCTGGGTTCAACAATTTCTTCTCTGGAAAGTTTATATCAACACTCGTTTGTTCAATCAATTTCTGATGATCAAGATTCAGTTCAAAGGAATGAAGATTGATGTTCTCGGTGTCAGCATTTTCCAGCTCGAGCATTTCCTGCAGTGGGAAATCCATATCACTATTTTCACATTTCAGTAGTGGTTGCTTTGAGGAATCACAGACAACATTCCCTGTTTTTGATGATTTCTGCACTGTAGAATCCAAACCAGCTTTCTCAGGTCTCTTATTAACATACAATGTTTTCTCCTCATTGTTCTCACTATCATATTGGGCTTTTCCAACTTCTTGATTCTTGTCAGGGATCACTTCCTTTCCATGCTTGTGTTTCCTGTGGTTCAAACTCAAGACACCATCACCAATATACGTGAGAGATGGAGAAGCTGTGGATGGTTTCAACATCTTCTTTTCTAGCATATCTTTCTTTTCACCACTCTTAGCAAGAACTTCTTTCCCATTTCTTCGTACAGTTGGTTCATGTGAAGGAGAAAGCACAGATCTTGATGCTACAGTTGTTATCTCACTGACCTTCTTAGATGCAGCACTAACAGGAGTGATCTTACTAGGAACTGGTATCTTATGTGTGATGTTGCTCTTCAAAGATGTTTGCTTAACCAGTTTAGGTTTAAAAGATGAACTGGCTTCCCATAGAGATAAAGTCCTCTTCTTGATGATACCAGTCTTCTGTCGTGCATCAAATCCATTGTCAGTAGATTGTTCACCAACTTTATGATTGTAAGAAAATGAATGTGACTCGATCAGATTCTTTGATTTGATAACTTGTTTCATCTTTTGATCCCTTGGATTAGTGTATCTCACCTGAGTTTCTTCATTCGTCAAAATTGGAATAACTATATGATCATTAGATATACTGCTTGTTTGTGTTGATATTGGTGATTGCAACTTAATCTTGACAGGGAACTCTAAAAATCCATCCTTGATGTTCTTTGAAGAAAACTTTTCCTTATTGACAGCTGGTTTATCAGGAAATTTGGCTTTTCTATGAGATGAGGGCTTCAGCTTGATCGCACAAGGGTTTCTCTCTCCTACATGTAATTTGTTTACTTGATATGACTCATCTCTCAGAGTAAACTTGTTGATCGAATTGGGAAAAAACAAAGGCTTTGTCTCAGCCATGAAATCATATTTCCACCCATACTTGCAAAAATCATGGCAGGAGTTAGTAGAAGCTCTTAGATAACGAGGTAGAATCTTTACCTTGCTGGTTGAAGGAAGTGATATACCAGTAGTAATCCTTCCCCCAGTTGAAAGCTTCTTTGATTTGTTGTTTAACTTGAGAAGAAATGAAGGATGCTTTCTCTCAGCCTCAAAAACTTGTTTCCTTCCACGCTTGCAAAAATCATGGCAGGCATTAGAAGAGGCTCTTAGATAACGAGGTAGAGGCTTTACTTTGCTGGTTGAAGGATGTGATGAGCCTGTAGTAATCCTTCCCCCAGTTGAATGCTTCTCCAAATTGTTGTTCAATTTGCGAAGAACTGAAAGAGGCTTTGTGTCAGTCTCAAAAGCTTGTTTCCATCCATCCTTGCAAAAATTATGGCAGGAGTTGGTACAAGTTCTTAGATAATGAGGTAGAGCCTTTTTCTTGCTGGTTGAAGGAAGTGATGAACCTGTAGTAATCATTCCTCCAGTTGAATGCTTCTTCAAATTGTCATTCAATTTGGGAAGAACTGAAGGAAGCTTTGTGTCAGTCTTAAGAGGTTCTTTCCATCCATATTTGCAAAAATCATGGCACGAGTTGGTATAAGCTCTTAGATAATTAGGTAGAGGCTTTTCCTTGCTGGTTGAAGGAATTGATGAACCTCTAGTAATCATTGCCCCAGTGGAATGCTTCTTCATACCATCTTTTGCATTTGGATTTACTGAGACTGAATACTTATCCATTGCCTTTTCAGTCATCATCGGATTGTGATGAGGTTGGAAGGGTGATTTTGTTATGCAAATCTGCAGCTAAGAAAAGGAGTCATAAGTTTTATAAAGTAGTGCAATATTTTGCATTTATTGTACAAATTACAAGAGATTGATGCTTCTCAGAAAGGGAAATAAATACCTTAGGACTGATGTTGGCATACTCAGTGTATATGACTCCCGTAATACAGGGTCAGGGGAGTTTGAGTCAATATACACAACCTTATTTTTAAATATAGGGAGGTTGTTTCCAATGACTCAGACCCTAGCAGCAACCTTTAATCCTTAGAACTAATGTTTGTAAGACTAAAACTAGACTCATAATGTATCTTGCTGTATAGGGAGAGAGAATAAACTAAGGTAAACTAAATCAATAAAAAAATGATCTATTCTTAATCTGTTGATCATTTATTCAGGACTAATGGCATGTGGTACTTAACATATACATGAAATGTTTCACAACTAGGTAGGTTTAATTGGCTGGTCAAATGGTGCATAACCCATTAACATTCATAGACTAACTTGAACAAATTTGGTTAAACTTGAATGACCCAATTTTGTCATCAATCCTTTATTCCAGATGGAAGAGAGTAAGAGACAAATGCAAAAAAAATGAAGAAAGAAATTATGGAAGGAATGAAAACAGAAAGGAAAAAAGATGAGAGAATGAGTATAAAGACCTGCAACTGTACAAAGATATCTAGTTTTATTATTGTTTACATATAACAATGAGAAAATTCATTCATGCATAAACATCTCTTTAAAAATCTACAACTATAGAGCCCTTTTCTTTTAATATATTTTCTCAATATCTTACATATTTATTACAACATAGATCAAATCATTTATCTATAGGTGAAGTAAAAAAGTTATTGGAACATATTAATTCTTGGTGTCAAATCATCATTCCAACTTAATCTTTTGAGTTTCCTCCATCTAAAAATAAAAAGGAAGGAATAAATAAATAAATCATTTCAACAACCATAATGAGTAGGATCTTGTCAAAAATTTCAGAATCATACAGACAAGATTCAGTACTCATGTAACATTGTCAATCATCTTTTACTAAAAATTTCATATGCCATGAATACTCGTAAAAGAACATAAATCAGTTCTTTTGAAAATCATGAATGAAATAAAAACACAAGAATTATTCAAAATTCTTTCAAGAAAGTAATCATCATATGTTAGTCTTATGGAACATAACTTAAATAAACACATTTATGGAATGACATCCACAAAGTACATAGGCATAAAGATTGGACACCTGACATTCACTCTCCCGGGATGGAGATATATTACTCGACATGATAGTTCTATATTCTCCCAGTAGCTAACAAAAGGAACTCATATTACCCTTCATCATATTACACTTCATTTAGGAGACAGGGACATATATTTCCTCACAATGATGGAGAAACCATCTAGCTTATATCTGACAGCACATAAATCCTCAAAAGGTTTGCATATTCTCAAAATGATTTGCCTACCAGTAGTAGCATGCTTGCACGGGTTGAAAAATAAATGTTCTCAAATATATCATTATATATTTTATTCATTTATTTGTAATTCTTCCATTAATGCTTGTAGATCATGCTTTCTTTATGAGTTTATGGCATGGGAGACTCAATCTAGTTGCAGCTCCTCACTGTGATAGGCCCTAGCTCTTTTCACGGGGTGTTGATCCAACTCAAATTGCTCCTCCATCATAGCCACATGTGTCATATGCATGGTAAAAATAATATCAACCTTGATGAAAGATACCTTAACTATAAAAATTTATCATACAACATCAAATAAAATCCTTTAAATTTACTAGATCGAAAGATAGATGGGTATCAAGCCTACTAGCTCGGAGATTGGCCTAAACCTGAGTTCAATTGACCTCATTTGAGCTGAATTAGCTTTATCGAGTCTTAAATTACCCAAATCCTATTTGAATCGAACAGAAATAATTCAAATTCAATTTTAACCATACTTTAATCATTTAAATTTGGCTAGAATTAGTCAGAAATCATCTGAATCCAACTTGATTTGATTTAAATCTATACAAAGACCCTCTGAACTGGTCTGAATAGATCAAAACCAGTCTGGATACACCTTGGACTAACATGAACCAGCCAAACTCAGGCTGATTTGGGCTGGACTGCAATAGGCTATCAGCATAGTATCGGACCATGCTAGGGCTACACTAGGTTGTATGGCTACTGGGTCATTGGGTCGCACCGAGCCACAAGCAACAATGTTGGTGTAGGTTAGGCCGAACCTAACGTGAGTTGGGTCTGGTTCGTTCCGACCAATTAGTTCAACCAATAGTTATCCAAATCGAATCAAAAAGTGACCCAGCCAAGCCTTGGGTCACTAGTAGGACTTGTGGGTCAATTAGTCGAACCCCTTATTTAATCTAAAATATTTTTAAATATATAAAATTATTTAAAAATTTATATAAAACACAAAATATTAACATTATTAAAAAATATCAATCCTTAGACAAATGAAAACAAAACTTCGATTGCATACAATATGATAAAAATAAAAATTATAACCAAAATTATAGACGTAAACTTTTATCCAAATTAAATAACAAGTGACAATATCTAAAAGGTAATTTGATTAATCAAACTCAAAATAGATTGTTCAACATAATAAAAAAGGTATCCGATATAGTTGTCATGACTTAAAGAACATATGCATATGAATTTTTTAAAAATAATGTTCATTTATCCTATTGCAACATTTGGTTTATTCTCATCATGTTCATTTTGGTGACTTAAGCAAGAAAAAGGTAAAGAGAAGATATGTGAGAGGAGGGGTAAAGACAAAACAATTGTCGTAAGGAGATGAGGAGGTGAAGGAGAGAGGTTTCTAATAAAAGAAAGGGTGGCACAAAAAGAGAAGTGATTGTATAATAAAGATTTCATGTTAACCTTCATTTCAAATTTTACCTAAATATCCTTTTAAACAATAAAAAGAATATTTAACTAATTTTAATTATATTTACAAAACTGGATTGATTTTATTTTACATTGGTTATTCAAAAACTAGTCGGTCAAATAGTTCATCTCGATTTTTTAACATAATGGATCTAATAAATAAATCAGACTAATCAACGGTTCAATTCCCCCTTTTTTGATCCAACCACTCGATTCAGTTTAGTTTCAATAACTATGGTTTGGAGTCGAGCCCAAACAAAATCAAAGATGACAAATTATTTATAACAATGAAGGTATTTTAGATTAAATACCCCTAATGACTGTCCCAACAGTGCCCCTAATGACATCAGTATTTTTTTTTCAATTATTTATAACAATGAAGGTATAAACAATGTTAAATTTAGTTTAAAGATATGAAAAACCTTAAGACATCAATCACAAAATTTTAGAACAACAATAACATTAACAATATGACAACGACAAAATCATGAAGTACCAACTATTTGGGATCGACATCATGAATCTTTTCTCTACCTCTTCTTATACCACTGATACTAATCATTTCACCTTTTTTAACTAATGTATCTGTACATCTCCTATGCACATTTGTATCATCTTAGATAATTTTTTCTCATTTTATCCTCGATTGAAGTGATAGCTAATTGTTCACAAATAATGATATTTTTTTTCAATTTTTCCTATTAACTCCACACATCCACATCAACATTCTCATCTTAACAATATAACATTTTTGTTATTTCTTAAGTGCTCAACACATAAATCCATAAAACGTTTAACAACTATCATATATTTTTTTCTTTTAATCTCAAAGGTATACAATGATCACTTAAGATTATTGATACCTCTCGCCATTTTAACCATCTCATTTTTATTATATGAAAAATATCTTTATCCTCTCTATCTTGTCAATAATTGATTCAAGATATCTAAAACTTTACTTAGTGGAACTTCTTACTCATCCAACTTAATATTATTAAAATTGCATCTCAAATATTTAGTTTTAGTCATACTTAATCTAAAACCTTTTAATTTCTAAGAATGCCTCTACAGCTCAAGTTTAGAATTAAATTTATCTTGACTCTCATCAACTAGGATAACATTATCTAAGGTATGCAATACCGTACCATACCAGTATTTCGAGGTTGGCTCGGTATGGTACGGTACCGGCGTACCAAGCGATACACCAGGGTATACCGAACAGTACACCAAGGTTTATCGAGCGATTTTCTCTTATTGCAGCATTGTAACACTACTACAGTGTAACACTATAGCATTGCTACAGTGTATTACTATAGCACTATAGCATAATCCGTCCAATAGCGGGTGATCCGCGTACCGATATGCCGTCAAACCGATACGTACCGCCCGTACTAGACAGTACCATTCGAAATTGCATAGCATAACATTATCAATAAATAGCATGGACCATGAAAGGCTTATCGTATAAATGACTAATAACTTAATTCATTATTAATGTAAAAAAGTAGGAACTAGGAAACTCACTAGACAAACTCCATATAGTTCTTATAGTAATAGTTACATTATCTTAGTAATATTAATATAATTTGTTCATATACTTTTTTTTTTCAAAGACTCACCATAATAAATCTCTAGAAACTCTATTGTATACCTTCTCTAAATCAATAAAAATTATATATAGGTATTTTTTTTTCTCTCTATAATTTTCCATTAGTTGTCTTGATAAATAAATTGCTTCTATTGTTTATTTTTTAAGCATAAAACTAAATTAATTTTTAAAGATATTTATTTGAAATCTTATTATAATAGGGATAACTCTTTCCCAAAGTTTTATAGTGTGACTCATGATTTTAATTCTATTATAATTAAAATAATTTTTTATGTTACCCTGATTCTTTTAAATTGACACTAAAAAGCTCTTCCTAATTCATCAAACATCTTTCTAAATCTCAAAATTTTGTTAAATAAGCTAGTTCACTAAGATATTCCTTAGTCTCCTAAATCTTTTTACAAACCTCAATAAAAAAGATACCATTACACCTCACAATCTTAAGTATTTTCAACGTGTTTTAGATATCTTTTGTTTCAGTAGCTCTAATTCTACAAATAAAATGTATAATTATTAAATCTACCATTATTATCTATACACTCATAGATTATTCAATAAATAATTTATAAAAATAATTTCTTCTTCTTTCCATAATTTCATTATCATTAACAAGTATTCTTTGATCTTTAATGTATCTAATATTACTGAAATTATTTTACTCCCCTTTCCCTATCATTAGCGATTCAGTATATATCTTTTTCCCATCTTTAATACCTAATTTG